AAGGCAATTTGTATTTTTAATTATGTTCCAAGTTATGTGAAAGGTTGACAATAATTTTAACATTTTTCAGTGATATTTGGCCTTGGAAGTTCGCCTCTGGGACCAAATGCTATAATATTTAACGCTAATTGTCCATTTTACTTCATCGTCTCAGCCAATAAGGAACAACTGTTTGTGGGCACATTTTATAATTAACAATGATTTTTTAAAATAAACTTAATCATTTGTAAATACAGTGGTTTTAACTTTTCAATGCCTTGGTTTTATTATTGTTAAAAATAACATAAGTAAGTAAGTTCTAGGTATAACTAAGGTATGTTTTATAATAACTATCGCGAGACACACTAAACGCTGCTCATGCGGAAGGACCCCTCTGTGGTTCGAAACTAGTAGAACTTTTCTGAGTATTTTCACGTGAGTAGCCCGCTATTTTTAATTAATTACTAAGGTAAAGTAAAAGACACAGTAGAAGGTTCTTTACCTTTTTATCAATATTTGTATTGTTAATTTTATACAGAATTTTAAATATGTATAACTAGCGACCCGCCCCGGCTTCGCACGGGTGCAATATGCATGTATTATACATGTAAACCTTCCTTAAGAATCACTCTATTTATTAAAAAAAACCGCATCAAAATCCGTTGCGTAGTTTTAAAGATCTAAGCATACATACGGACATACAGCGAAAGCGACTTTGTTTTATACTATGTATTGATAAGTATTGTGAGTGACAGGAATAAAATACTAATCATACTGACAAGGCTGTTTCGAAGAAATTAACCAAAACATTACTTTACTACTACTTCATATTTTTTTTAATTTCATTACTTCTTCATCAATATTTACATATATAATACAGACAGATTTATTAAATAAAACACATTTATTTCATTGAAATCTTCTGGAAAGTTAAAATCTTGTTCAGTAGCAGAAAAAAAAGACCAAATGTTGTAATGTTCCTGCTTACTCCCGCTCTTTTCACTTATATCATTACTATTTTAATGGTTAATTATATTTTAAAGAACATTTTTTTTGTCCATCCGCAATGGTAACAATGTCAAAGTTGTCGAATTTGGACCTCCCTATACTCAATGCTAATCGGCCGGTCATGTCCCACATAATGTTTCTTAAAGAGCAAATGTTCTCTGGAATACATTCTGGATAGTAAGTTTGAAAATCAGAATACAATATTTCAGAACTTATATTGTATTTTTTATGTCTACAAGTGTTAAGTAGAAAATAGTATTAAAATAATTTGTTTAGTAAATCAATTGTCATCGACTAATGAATAGGAATGTGTGTCGCTTGATGTATAAGTACTGTAACATTATGATAATGAATAAATGGTTTGTGCTTCGGATACTTTATTTTTGTCAATAGTAATAGGTCCGGAGTAAGACTCCTGTCAACACCACGAGGCATAATTACAGACATTATCTTAGTACTGAGAAATTATCGAAACCCCGAAAAAACACAATTATTTCGCTAGTTTGCCAGGTTTATCTGAACCTGATACTTGCGAAGGTAATTGCTTGGTAGCGAGTGGCCTCGATCAACGAGGCATTTTATTTATTTTTTTATGATAGTATCATTTATAATCATAATTATCAATATCAATATCTTAACAAAAACATCAACATAAAGTTCCGTTACAACTTCGCAATAGACATGCGCACTGAACGTATACAGGGTGGAAGTTACTTCCATTCATCCCTCAACTCAGTCGTATGTCGTTTGTCGCTGGGCTAACACCTACCCGACCGTTCGCGCGAATTCGAAAACTTTTACGTAATACGTAAATCTGATTAATTTTTCTTAAAACAATAGTGAAGTGACATCAGCCTGTATAGACTCATAGTGCTAAAGTGACCAATGAATGGATGCCAAAATTTATTTAAAAAAAGTGAATAAAAATATGTAAAACTTTTGAAGCAGTAATGGAACGCGATGCCCGCGTTTTTTCAATTGTTTTTTTAAATAATCGGCAAAGAAATAAGTTTATAAATGGAAGTGAATTTTTTTGTCTGGCTCATAGTAATATTAGTACAGTTCCAATTGGTTTTTTACGTGACAGCAGACAACTTTGCCAAAAGTGAGTATTTTAACGATTTTGTGTTCATAATGCGTGTTTGTTTATTGTTAAAACTTTTAACTGACTTTAAAAATATAGGTTTTGTTTTCAGCCGTGAGAAGTTTTTTTTTTAGTTTAATTTGTTTTCATATTTTTTATTTAAATAAATTCAAATTCATTTATTTGCAAGAATACATATTTACAAAGGAAGATCTTACAGCCTTAAAAAATACGATATTATTATTATTATTCGTTAATATATTTTTGTGTATGAAAATTGATACAATATAGTGATCTACAATAATTGGTAGATAAACCAAACATTTCTTTAGTAATTACAACTACACATTCTTTTTGTTTTTGTTTTGACCTAAAAATCAACCAGTATGGAAGCAAATTCAATCTGGTTTATGATTTATGATTTTTAGGTCAAAGTCGTTTGGCTACATGTCGTTTAGAAATAAATTTATATATATTTTTAAATAAACATTGACGTGCTTTATAAAATACCTAAGAATATGATTAATAAAGTCAGTTAAAGGTTTATTAGTTGATTTTATAATCATTGAGTTAATTATAATTGTATGTATTAGAACTGTTAGTTTTATTTAAATCAATGATTGAAAAATCAGCTATCCACGCAATTCCCAAAAATACCATAACCATTTCATTATAGATTCAAACCATCGAACAGATGATACGGTAATAAAAAAGGATCTGAATAATGAAAAACCAGAAGAAATGATAACAAATCATCAGACTATTCAGGAGAGAGACTACTTCTTACCTCCTGTGTTCACGTCTGATGACAATGAGGACGAGGAAGATGATGATGAAGCAGCATATTTAGATTACGATTATGAGATAAAGGAATCAAATTATAAAGACTCACCGGATTTGGCAACCGTTCGGTCAGACACACATGATGTTCCAGTTGTAGATGATAAAATACCACTACACACTGCAAAGGACAATTTACCTATTTTCTTATTGGAGCCAGAAAATACTTATGTTGTCAAAAATAAACCTGCTACGTTAAAATGTCGAGCTGCTAACGCTTTAAAAGTAAGTAATTGTGAATCGTGTTTAAGTAGTTTGTGACTTTACGATAGATTTTTTGTATCATGTAATGGTGGCCTTATATTTTTGAGTTTCGTCAATGTTTTCGTCGTAACGTTATGTTGAATTCTCGGAGATTTTTTAAATGTATTGTTTGTCCTCATATTTTTTAGTTAATTTGTCAAAATTTTCATTACGTAACTTTATAATAGTTATAAGAAATCTCAAAGTTTTATCGATTGGAAACCAGGTATTTAGTTTTCTAAATGGCTGTGTTCATTGTCTTGTAATTCAGTCTTGGTATAAATTTCATTTTATAAAAATAGTTTACTAACGATACCACTTGATAAGTAGTACATTATTATAAAAATTGTGAAAATTTTCCCTTTACAATATCATCAACAGCCTATAAGTGCCCACTGCTGAGCAAAGCCTCTTCTCACACGGAGAAGGTTTGAGCATAGATCACCACGCTTAATCAATGCGGGTTGGCGATTACAAACTTATAAATAGAAATTATAAGCCCAGGTTTCCTCACGATGTTGTCCTTCACCGTTTGTCAGCGGTGTCTAGATAATCTTAGAAAGTACATATAACTCGGAAAAAGTCACATTGGTACTTGCCGGTGGTAGGTTTTGAACCCGCACCCTCATGCATGAGAAGTCGTCTTAAACCTCCGAGCCACCACGACATTATTATCACATGTATAATAAAAATTAACAGCACAAAATTATAACAAATTTATTTTCCACTCAAAGGTATTTTTCAAATGCAATGGCATACAAACTCAAGCACTAAATTTCGAGTTCGTTGACCCTCAAACTGGAGTGAGGATAATTGAGGGAGAGTGTAAAGTGACGAGGGAGAATGTTGAGGAGTACTTTGGGAGTGACAAGTACCAATGCACTTGTTTTGCTTGGACCAGCCGTGGGCATATACGGAGTCAACCTGCTACTATCGAACTGGCGTGTAAGTACACTGTCATAACATGTTTGTCGTTACAGGTCAAAATATTGATTTAAAACGAAACTAAACTAACTATTATTTAATGTGCTAAAGAGTGGAATTCTTTGCCAGAGTCTGTATTTTCTGAAGGGTAGAAACTGGGTGTCTTCAAGGCCTGAGGCTCCATTGTAGACCGCATCATCGCTTACTATCAGACGAGATAGGGGTTAAACGTCGACCCACAAAATATAAATAAAAAACGAATATATTTATATATTGCACTTTATAAATTAAAAAGAATTGTCCAACAATCAGTTGATTATTGGTGCTTTTTCAAAAGAGTATATCCGTATGGAAAAGGAAGAGCTTAGGTTAATCAGTATAGATATGTACTTATGTATATTTTTAACTTACTGGACCATATGACCTATTTATAGACTGTCACAAGCATTACTCATTACAATGAAAAAGAGCAATGGAGTATGTATGAGACTTTGACCTTTTACTCTACGAAAATACTTACTTTGATACAGTCTTTAGAGTCGATACCCAAAAGCTAAGTTAATATTTTGGCTAGTAGCCAAATATTGATTATTTAGGAACCTATGTATGTTCAGAAGTTACAGTGAGCTGTGTTTGTAACAGTTTGAGTAATAAATTATTCTTAAAAAAATATACCTTGTACCAATGTAATTGAATGTATATTTATTTATCCTACTAATGATTATCTTTTGAGTTCAGACTGAGACACAAAAGTCGTACCAAAGGACCACGACACAACTTATGATTTGGCCCGTTAGTTTAATAAAATCTACATAAAATTAATAACTATTACCAGATGCGAAAATCTAGGTATCAAATTCCTGGTTGTAATTTTCATTAAGTATAAAATCTAAGTAGAAACAGAGAACCAAATACAATTGGAGATATAAGCTTGTTTTTATTAGCAATGAACACTTGGACAGACTTGAAAGATGGCTCAGTGTATAACATCATTATTAATTTTAGATATAAAGAAACATTTTGCTCTGGCCCCACAATCTCAAGTTGTGAAACAGTATACATCAGTAACGTTTCGCTGCGAGCCTCCACCAGCGGCCCCTTTCGTTCAAATCTATTGGCTCAAGAACGGAGCTCCCGTTGTCGAAGATGAAAACGTTCACGTATCTAAAGACAGAGATCTATTTATTAAGCAAGCTTCATTGTTGGTAAGTTTAATTTTATTAGAGTAAATGTAATGTGAATAGGATATAGTTTTATAGTTAACTTAAGAATATGTTAAACAGGTTGTTTGTTGGTTAGTTTTATTTTTTAAAACAGTTTGTTGTTTTTTTTTTATTTTTGAATACGGTAGTTAAAGGTAGACAAATTCAATACTTTTATTGAAATATCAAAAATGATACTTTTCAATGAATTTTGTTTTGGTCGCAACTTCTGACGTCATCATATTTCTGCGTCAAATAGCATACTTATTTTCATAAAATTAGCGAGAAGAAATACAAATGTAGGTAAATTGTCAAATAAATGGATGAGAGTATGATTATTTTTTAATTGTTTATTGCATTGAAAAGTGGAAATATTTTATTTTAAACCTAGGAAACTAGCCAATTGTTTTTCTTCAGTGGTGCTTGATTTCTAACAACAAGATCTAAATTGTAACAGGGATCTGTATATGATTCCCCAATCTGTCGAATCTCTGTAATGATATTGCTTGCCTGCCTACTGAAAAATTATATAATAAAAGAAGTTAAAAAGCCTTCTGTGTCTATTTTAAAAAGGTTTACAAAGTATACGAGTTACAATGAAGTCACGTCAGTTTCATGAAACTTCCTGAAACGAGTAAATAAAGTAGTGAATTTAACGGGCACTGGACTCGGACAGATTTCAATTGTGAAACAATTTTCAGGACATGGCGAACTACACATGTGTCGCTGAAAATTTAGCGGGGAAACGGATGTCTGAACCAGCCTTGCTGACTGTGTTCGGTACGTACAAATTTCAACTACGTTACTTTGTTTTTTTTTTGTTTTGTTACCAAGTTGACGCCATTTTTTTAGGTCTCCTTTTTTTGGTGGAGGTTTTATATTCCCATAAATAAAAAATGCTTAAGAGGTCATTTTTTGGTTGGTACGTTTGGAAAACTAGTAACAAGAACTCATAATACGGTTGCGTGTGGTCAGTAATATGGGTGACCCAAAAGTCATTAATTTCGGGAATAACAATTCCCATTGTGCATTTAATGCAAAACTATGATAAACCAAATAAATACCCCCAAAAAGTACCTATACCAAATTTGCCCTATAGGGACTGTAAGACGTGATGTTGTACTATAATATTGCTAGACCTTAGAATCTTCCGAAATTAGGACCAATTATGACCATTATCCTTCTTATAGTTAATGGTGGTTGGAGCGCATGGTCAGCTTGGATCGACTGCTATTGTGATGAGCAGGGAAGGGAGGCCCATTCAGGGAGGAAGAGGGAGAGGACTTGTACAGCACCTAGACCTTTGAATGGAGGACAACCATGTATGGGACCTAATGTACAGAAGACACAGGATTGTTTGGATTGTGAAATAGGTATGTGGATTGTAGATAATGTAGTGATATAGTGAAAAGGAGAAAATAACATTAAACTAATTGTTTCATCAATAACGAGGTAGAGAATTTATTCTCCTTTTAAATCTCGGTAATAAGTTACTACTTTAAATTATTTACTAGACAAAAAAGGAGTTTCTCGCAATTGGTTCAATCAATTTTGATGTGGTCTTCAGAAACATGTTTGTATAAGTAAATTAAGGGTGCTTTTGTTTCTAAAACAAAAAAGAACTGAAACCTCGTTGATAAATAATTAATAATTATTTTAAGTAATGAACATACAACGCTTTAATTAACTATGCTTGTGTGACTCATATAGAATAATGGATGGGAGTTGAATAATAATTGTTTTTCTTACGTCTAGATGAACTAGATGAGTTGGCTGATGAATCACCGGATTTGTTATTAGGTGGGCTATAACCATTTTCTATTGTTCCTTAGAGATTTCGCCTCCTTTTAGTGTTTTTGTTTTTATTTTTTTATAATCCGTATTTGTTTTTGTTAATATCAGTGTGTGTTTATAAACTGTTATTGATTTTTATTGCTTTGCTGTACCTTGAAGGATTGATTATCAAAATATTCGACTTCCATTTTCTTTTTTTTTGCTGCTAACCTTCTCTACTTGAGTACTTTCTCTATTGACATGATGTATTTTTCGATAGTTAGGTATTTTTGTTTTGTTTTGATTTCATGATACATATTTAGTATTATTTAGCTTATCTTTTACATTTACATTATGTAAATACACATACTATTTATAATAGTAACATATATTCGTCGATCTTCCACCTTTATTTTTTATATTTTTTTTTTTCGTAGGACGTTGGTCCCAATGGTCGGAATGGTCTAGATGTGACTTGGACTGTCTTAGAACAAGAAGGAGACGATGTTTGTCTATCAACGCCTGCAGAGGAATTGACTACCAGGTGGCACAGTGCAACCTGTGTGTTAGGACTTCTAAGAGTGACCTTGATAATGGTAAGCCATTGTCTTTTTGATATAAGCAATATGTTTTTGTTAGTGAATGTAGTAATTAATGCAATGTATAAAATTAAAAAGTCGTTTAAAATACATTACAGCACTTTTCTTTCATATTAATAAAAGTATTGTTTGCAGGATCATATTGGCCTCTCTTGGTTGCGTTATCGATAGCTCTTCTGATATTCATAGTGGTTGTTTTACTGGGAATAAAGTATATTAAGTTTAAAATTAACAACACTTCGCCATATGTGAAACCACCTTCAGGTATGTAACGAAAAAACCCATTAATACTTTGCCCGACCCGGGAATCGACCCCGAAACCTGGGCCTTATTGCCTGGCAGTCGCACTTGCGACCACTCGGCCAACGAGGCAGTCTTAGTATATGTGTCGATTCATTACTGATAAGTTTTCACTGCTGAAGCATTCTCCTAAGTTTCTATCTGTAAGTAGGTTAGAAAATTCTTATTGCAATCACTATTTTAATTCCAGTTCCATTAATTGTACGAAAGAAAAAAACTTACAGCAACATAATAAACGTTTTTAATGTCACATTGTACTAACATTAAGGAAAAATATTATATTACCTAAAGACAAAAGATAAAACGAGACCATAATAATTTTCCTTTAGCAAAAAAAGATCTTACATCGAATACAATCTCTAATACAGGTTCGAATTACTTCGGTAACGTAATAAAGAGGACACTAACCAATCAGCCGGACTTAACTATACACGAGGAGTTCCAAACTATTGATTCTCGAAGGACACACAGACATATGAGCACATCTACTAACACACGCCATGAACATCTGTACGAAGTACCACAGCTAGCTAACAGGTAAAATACTATTTTTTTTTTATATACATAACATCACGTCTTTTATCTACGAAGGGGTAGGCAGAGGGGTAGGTAGAGTGAGTGGCACCTAATGCCACTGTACAATGTAACACCCACTTCTCACTATTTTATAAGTCCTATGTAATAGAGGGTGAGCCTATTGCCATATATCGGGCACATTTTCAGACTCCGTGCTACTACTGAGATGTTTTGAAAAAATTCAATAATACTTTGCCCGACCCGGGAATCAAACCCGAGACCCCTTGCCCGGCAGTTGTACTTGCGACCACACGGACAACGAGGCTAATTTTGTAGGAAATTAGTTGTATTATCACCTCCCGAGAGGAATACGTCAAGATACAAGTCACCCTATATGTATAGATCCAATAAAATGTCCTACAGAAATATTAAACATCAACAGTTAAAAACTACTACATCATTTATGATATAATCTAACATTAATCCTCAGTTTTAACTAAGGATTACAGTTAAAAGATGGAAGGACCAAGTTGGTCCTTAGAGACGCAATTAGCCTACTAATTGGTTGCCTAGGGGATGCACTCGGACAATATAGAGAACGAACACTTAATTTGTGATATAAAGTAAATGAGAAGTATGCATTTCTTAGAATATTTCTTTGATATGCTTCTTATTTGAGATATTGAAATAATTTAAGTATTTTTGTGGTATATATGGTGTTGAAGTATATTTGAAGTTTAAGCTTAAATTGAAATAATTGGGATCAACGATTTTTTACGAAGTAGGTATTGAATAGGTAATAACAATCCAACAGTTACTCTTAAAATTAATTTTATAAAACTATAAAGGTCATTTCGTAGAAATATAGGCAACACGCGGTTCTATATTGTGAAGATACTATGTTCATTAACATGATTTAATAAGTCTTTCATTTGCAGCTACATCACACCCATAGACCACGAGGTAAGAAATGACAGAAATGGAAGCGAAAGGAATTACGCTTGCAAGGACAGCGTCGAGTCAGACCGATCTGACTCCAGTTGCTTTTTGAGCTGTGAGTTATTCTATGCACCTTCGCGAGGCACCAGATTGTATAATAGTTTAATTTATGTTGCAATTACAATTGATAATTTAAACGTTATAGCTATGACTTTAAGGTCATTTTTATTTTAGCCCCCACTATCACAATCAAATGCCTCTTAGCTTCTGTTTGCTCTACTACAACTTTAAGTACAAGTTTCATTAAAGTTAATAAAATATTTCTTCCAGCCGGCTCATCGTATGGTAATGAAAGTGTAGAGATGACACCGTCGTTGATAAATAATGCATCAGTAGACTCAAAGTTCTTTGCTAAGCAATTAGAAGTAGCTACTTCAAAAATAGTTACACCAGACGGTGATTGGTTGAATCTTAATAAATGTGGAGTAAGCCTATTTGTTCCCGATGGAGTGGTGGAAAAGGGTGAAGAGTTATTCTCGATTGAGGTCGCAGACGACGACTGGAATAGGCCGCTGCTGCAAGAAGGTAAATTCAATTTAAGTTTAGGCCTATTGACCTGGATAGGAATTGAGATCGGATCGCTAAATTTAGATTAGGTTTTAAATAGCTTTCAGTTTACATCGAAGGTAAATTTAACCGAGAGTGAACATTATAAAACAAGTTAGAAATGCGACGCGAAGATTTCTTTTACGAGATTACGAAATCAAAGTTAAACGCTCAAAACGAAATCCGAAAGTACTTTTACTTGTTTGAACAAACAGTCAACTACAAACATGTTAAATCCCAAACTCTTAGAGAAGCAGCTCTGAACTCAGTTCAACACCTGCAACAAATAAAGCCCGCGTAAGAAACTTGTGTTTAATATTAAACTTGGCCATTCTGAGAGTTGGAACTGAAGTGGGATTACACTGAGCCGTGGTCTGACCTAAATCTCAAATGTCAGGTTATTCTGACCTATAAGTTGGTCCGCCTCGCTACCTACCGATGTTATTTCGGAGCCGGGTCACGATTGATTGCCTCGAAATATGTTACATAGTTAAATGAGTACCTTATTAGATATTCGGGGATTACGAATGTTCTGTTCTATCTATTATGGAATGCGACCGACCGACATTGTAGGAACTACCGCATTACATTGATATTCATTGTAATAATTTATTAGTTACTATTGTTGTACTAGACAGTAGTTACATAAATCATGTATGAACAGATTTTCTATTTTGTAGGTGAAATTCAACTAAGCCCTATTATACGGTGCGGACCCAAAAACTTTCACTTTTGCAAGAGTGTGGTTTTGTCCTTTCCACATTGTGCAGCTTTGAAGAACACCAGCTGGTTTCTATCCATCCTCCAGAGGCCCGAAGAAATCAACTCGAGGGAGTGGCGGAAAGTTTTGACTTTGGGCCAGGAAACGCCCGGGTCCCCACTGTTCGCACAAGTCGACCCTTCTAAAGTTTACCTAGTGAGCGAATTTCTAAGCGACTTTGTTCTAGTCGGGAGAAGTTTCAGCGGTCTAGACGCGAAGTTGTATAAAGTCGCTTTGTTTATATCTAAAAGATTGGACGACAGTTACTATAGTTTGAAGATTCATGTGTTTCACGATACGCCTTACGCTTTCTACGACTGTTTCGAAAGTGAAAAGAAGTTAGGTGGCTCTTTACTCTGTGATCCAAAGACATTATATTTTCAACAGAATTGTTCTGATTTATGTATTAACATTAGAGATGTAGGAGTTGGTTGGAAGGTACATACCGGGGGGAAATACCAGGAACTGTCGTATTCACAAGTGTGGAATATGACAATGAAACCTCTGCAATACATATTCGTGTTGCAGCAAACGGATTCAATAAACTGTTTAGAGTTAAACGTTACTATTTACCAGAAACAGAAGCAATCGAATTCTGTCAATTTCAATTTCAAGACGAACGACTTGAATTTTAATATGAATAGTAAGAGATTCAGTTGTGCGAGTGTAGAGACTGTTAATATATTAGAGAACCCGTTCAATTATTCCTCGCTGAGTAAGAAGGAGGGGAGGTACGACTTTGTGTATAAGAATCACAGCATTAGGAGCTACTTTAGCGTTGACAATAATTACCGGACTAATGTGTTGACCAAGTCGGATAGAGTGATACTGTGCAAACTATTAGATTCTCAGTCAGTGAAAGGGAACGACTGGAGACTGTTGGCTGAGAAATTGAATGTTTGCTCTTTCTATTATTATTTCACGAATACTTGTTCGCCCACGGAGAATATATTGAACTTATGGTTGTGTAGGAATAATGACGTGAACATGTTGGTCAATTTGTCGAGGATATTCAGGGAAATGGGTAGGATTGATTGTTCTACAGTAGTCGAGAGACGGTGTTTTGCGAACTGAAGGGAAAGTATAAAGGAATGTGAAACAATCGTTGAGTTTTAATGGAGAAAGATTTTTGTAGACCTTTATAGAGTTGTTTTGAGAGAATATTTGAATTTGCGTTCGTTTACGTCATCATTGTTTCTTTGAAGATTTAAAAAGAACTTCTATTGTATTTTGATTGTTTGGCTATAATTGTTAATTTTCTTTATGTTTTGTTCTGTTCAGCTTTGAATTTCAGTGTTTGACGTCTATTCAAATTCAATGTTTGATATTATATGAAAGAATGGTTTTTGTTTAAATTAAACAACTCTATTGTTTTTTTTTATTTTTCAGTACATATAATATTTTTTACTAGATTTCTTCATAACCTTTCTGCGAGGATATTTATTTTTAGAAACATGAACGGTTTTCAATACAATAACATTAGCTGACCCTCTGTATTATACATAAATAGCCAATAAAACCTATTTTAGCTATATACTGGTTTGTCAAATCTCTTTTAAGATGCTTCATTTCTTTAGTGTCAACTTACACACTGTCTGTGTCAAATAAATAAACACAATATGATTTTCGTGAGTCACCTTCAATTAATAAGATTGTATGGCCTAGTTATATCACTATTCTTCGCTCACTCTACCAATTTAAAACTACTCCAAGGTCCCATACGCACGTAGAAATAAGTCGATGGTTAAAAATACTACTTACATATGTGTGTAGGATATGAAACTGATCGAGTAACTTCGTTAAACTATTACGTTAGTAAGCCGTAGAAGTTAATCAAAATCAGAGTGAATAAGTTGCTTATGGGCAGATGTCCTTCACATAGGCCGCATCATTGCTTTGCTACCAGGCGAGATAGCAGCCAAACGTCGGTCCATCAAATACATACACATAAAAAAGTAAACCATTAAATAGCTAAAACAGGTTTATTGACTTCTTATACCACTGAAAATGTTTAAAAATTAATTAGGAAAGCTTATAAATACTAAAAAGTATGTTTGAAAAACATTATTAGCTGTATATAAGTAAATATTAATGAACCAAATAGATACTGTATTGTTTAGATAAGAAAATTAAGTAGTGATTTGAAAATTTTGAAATTAAAAGTAAACATTTGAAAATGTGTGTGTTGTTTATTTAAACCCTTATTAGAAATAGAGATATTAATTGTGGGATAGTTCTAAAATGAAAATAACGTAGAACATTATTATTTAGACTTGTATATTCTCGGAATTATTGACCTATATCCAAAATAAATATGATATATTATTTGGACAAAATGTTTATTATAAAATTTTATTCATAAAAATGTAGCTGCTATTTAAACGAAAACCCAACATCATGCCTTACAATCCCTGAAGGGAAGGCAGAGGTAGGTGTATTCAATATAATACTCAATTGCAAATAGTTACGTTACAAAGAGTCCTATATAATAGAAGAGCTTATAGGTGAGCTTATTGCCATACACCGGCACAATGCTAGACTATATGGCGCTATATGGCGCGTTGAGTTCTGCGTGCGTCTTAATGAGCCATCAGACCACCACAGTAGCGCAGCCCAGGAGTCGCTGAGGACTTAACGGGTTACCGGGACTCCGGCTCAAAAGACCGGGAGTAGAAACGGGGTGGTTTTTAATCAGTAAGTGTGTGATATTCCCTCTTCCCTCACCCAAGGTGGAAGAAGCCATTGTATGATTTTTCCCCCTTTAAAAATAACCTCGTACTAAATACTGAGAATTTTAGAAAAATCACACAATTCCGACATTTTTATAACAATCAAGCTTATTACCTATAGCTAAAAAAGGTGAAAGAAAGATAACTAAATAACTGATACAACCAATAAATGAACTTAGGTCGAAACAAACCGAAAACGAATTCTCAAACAACATCACACAAACGACATGTACGAAAATAAAATAAAAGATCAGAGACAAGACTTAATAGGTGGCGAGAGAAGAGTTTGTATTACAAAAGGAGTACCTTCATGAAATAGTAAACAGGTTAAAGAGATAATAACCATAACACCTCTTCTTTACGAGAGGAGATCTTCGATAGAATCGAGCGGAAACCGGTAAAATTGTTACATCTGGACCAAGTTGCAAGATGACAGCGATTTTACTCGATGAAGGAATAGAAATAATTGACTTCGTGATATTGTGCGGTGTATTTGTTCAAAGGTATGATCATATTAAATGTTTATATGCAGCCACTTGTTAACATGTTGGCTAAGGAGGCGGCGTACGAGGCAGCGAAGTGCTGCCTCCTCACAACCCAGCCGTCGCGAAGGACACTCCGGGCGTCGGGGATCGCGAGACGATCTATCTCCGGCCACCTGACTCGCCGGCCGACTAGAACCAGACCCGATCGTATAGACGCGGTACGTCTCGCGCGCGCGTCAAAGAGCCATCAGACCACCACGGATAGGATCATAGGGCACAATAAGGCTGATGCCGATACGGAGTCGCAGAGAACCTAACGGGTTATTGGGGCTCTGGCTCGAAGTGCAGGAGTAGGAACAGGGTGGTATTTAGTCAGTAAGAGTCTGATACTCCCTCCCGCCTCACCCAGGCGGGCGCAGTCATTCGATGATTTTCCCCACCTAAAAAAAGCCACTTGTTCTCAGTTATGTTATGAGTCGCATGTAATATTCTTATTGTGTGCCTTCAGGCAGCCATTGGGCACTGAGCATGACTAAGACGAAAGCCGACGAAATCGATATCAACTTTGAAAACCCTCTTAAATTATTTATTAAAGGCGAAGTATTATTAAGCGTTATGTCTACTTTTATCACGAAAATATAAAACAATAGTTTCATTGCTTTATTTAGTAGGTTAAAATCTAAGAACCATAAATCTCTATTCTCTAATAAAAAGAGGTCGATTTCGTAAAATAATTGAATTCAAATGTAATCATCGTGCTTCTCCAAAACGGAACATCGTAATTCCAAACAAATGCATACGAAATTGGAACGAAATGAAAGCAGTATTTACGACGTGTAATAAATTCCCCCGCGAAAGTATTTTACTTGGGCCATACAACGCTTCGTCGGAACGTAGTCTCAATTATTAAACAATGCAATCGTCTCGGACGGTACAGCCAAGTATTAAACTTGAATACCTAGTATTTGGGTCAGGGAACGTGGAATATATGCCGTATCGTGTTGCAATAGCGTTCAAATTATTTAGTGATATCTCGACATGAATTTCGGAACGCTAAGTGAATTCCGACGCACGAACTGTTTGCTGATTTTCTTCGTTTTTTCTGTACCTGTTTTTTCTTTTGATTGGATTGTCTTTTGTTTTAATATAGTTGTTCGAGTTCTTTTTGTATTTACATATGGTTTGGTAAGGTTCGAATTTCTATACTGTATCAAAAAGTGCCAGATTTCTTAATGTAGGTAAAAACATGTTGTCTAGATTTGTGCCTAGTATGCCACAATGAACTAGTTATTATAACAATCAAAGGAGATTAACTTGGTAAAAATATAATAAAGATTTTATTTCTTAAAGAAAAAGCAAGTGCAACGTTATATTATGTCACGTAGGTCAGTACGTATTCATGGTACATTAAATTTTATGCTGGTTGAGCATGACTACCTGAGGTCCAATTGAGATCGTGATCTGATTACTTGCAATTCATTTTGTAACGTTTCCTTCATCTATGGTGAGTTTTATTTTTTGATTGTAACTTCCTTATTTGTGGTAACATAAGGTTGTATGTTTGAAGCTTGGATGAGATACAATATTGTATTGTTGATTTTATGAGACACTGTAAACGATTTCACTTAGTTTTAAATAGGGAGGATTTTTTTAAGGGGGTAAAATCATCAAATTACTGCTCCCGCCTGGGTGAGGTGGGACGGAGTATCAGACTCTTACTGACTAAAAACCACCCCGTTCCTTCTCTTGCACGTCGAGCCGGAGCCCCGGTTACCCGTTAGGTTCTCCGCGACTACGAATCGGCATCTGGTCTGATGGCTGTTTGCGCGCGCGGAACGCGACGCGCCGTACGCTCGAATTAGGGAGGTTTAAATTAATACTAAAGGTACTTCGCACTTAACAAGCACGGCTCCGGTACGTCGGTTTGTGCTCTGGAAGTATACAAGAAGGTTGCAAGCTCGCATCTACTCGCTTACAGGTTTTTCATATTGACATTATGAAACGCCGGTTAAGGGCCGATTTTTCAATCATCAGTTAATTCTTATCTGTGGAATACAATTGACAGTTGACAGTTTTCAGTATGGAAGAATTGTCAAATATTGAAAGTTATTCCTTAGTTAAAATTTAACTGAGCATTCAAAAATCGGCGATAAGTGTATTATGACTTTAAGATTGTTTTGTTATTAGGTCCATTGTAATATGGGCCAAACCCATTTCTAGAAGAAGAATCTGGAAAGCAATTTGAAAGCTAGTGTATTAGTATCTGGTTAGCATAGCTCGAAATTCTGTCATTAGACTACGCGTCTACAACAATTTAACAAAAACACAGTCTGTATACTATAAATGTTAATGTTTGTTAATTCAAGGAGAAACTGAACTCTAAATACAAAGTACGAAGAATAAAAAAGTAATTCGTATGGTTTTAAAAACAGTGGCTCAAGGTACTTGGAGCTAGTCTTAATTGGAGGGCGCTTAGTTCAGGAGCCCTTCGTGTGAACAGCTGTGCTTCAGAATCTTACGGTTTTTATACTAATTGTGTCACAGTTGAGCATTTATGTTTGTTTGAGTTTAGCGTTTTGTATGATTTTCATATTGTTTCTTTCTTAGATTTTTTAAGCACTAATTATTATTTAATATTGGGTTCTGCCCCGTTGGCCGAGTGGTCGCAAGTGCGATGCCGGGCAAGGGGTCTCGGGTTTGATTCCCGGGTCGGGCAAAGTATTATAGGGTTTTTACAAAATTCTTAGTAGTAGCGCGGAGTCTGAAATTGTGCCCGGTATGTGGCAATAGGCTCACCCCCTATTACATGGGATTCATAAAATAAATAGTGAAAAGTGGGTGTTCCATTATACAGTGGCATAATGTGCACCTCTGCCTACCCCTTCGGGAATAAAAGGCGTGATGTTATGTTATGTTATGTAATTATATTGGGTTAAATTAGGGAGATGGCAGAAGTAAAAGATGTAATTTTCTTACGTTTTGATTCAAATTTATAAGTATGTCTTAAGTTTACCTTT